CTGTGTGAAAAACGGCAAGCCGCCAGTAACGGCACCACCCCACCTTACCGTATACGGACGTTTTGTTGTTACTTTTACTATCAGTTTTAGTAAGTTGAAACTCACTGACACTGACTCGTTGTGGGCTTTGCGATGCGCTGCGCACCCCCAATGACCCAATTAAATGCCTGAAAACTCAATATAAAGAGTGCATTTGTATTATCATTGACTTTGAGAATGTAAGTATTTGATTAAGGTTATGTCACCGTGTGAGTTGGGAGGGAAGGCGTGGCATTCGTATTCGGTTTTATATATAATTATTATAAGCATGTCTTTTTAGGAATTATTATGCATTGCAAAGTCAGAATTTTGTCGAATATTTTTTTACTAGCGTTTCCGGATTCTTTTGAAAGGTTGGGGTTGCAATAAAACACCCGATTCTCTAAGTTTTTTCCAAATCACTTCACTTGCGAAGTAAAGCTAAATATGATGAAAATGATTTGGAATATAATTTTTCAAAGCGGAGTCGTAGATCACAAAACCATCTTTGCTTTCTTGCAAATTAAGTATTAGCTTTAAAGTTCCGGACTCGCGCAGAAAGTATCAACCTTTAACGGAATTAATTTGGTGATAAGAGAAATAATTCAGATATACCTTCCTATTGTCGGGAGATAGATTTGAAGAAGCAATTTGAGGACAATTTACTTCGCAGTTCGAACTAGTGTTCGCCGATAGGTTGAAATTCAACCACTAAAATTAAAGGGAGTACATACCTACAGTTGAGTTAAAATTAAGTGAATTGAAGTAAAGTGAGTTAAGGTGAGGTGAGTTTATATAAGTTAAGGTTAGTTGGGATGAGTTTAGTGTAAATGAGGTGAGTTGGGGTGAGGTGAGTTAACTTGGATTGAGAATTGATGTGAGGTTAGTTAAGGTGATTTGAAGTGAGGCGAAATACGTTGAACAACATAACACAACATAACATACCATAACATAGCATAGCATATCTCATTCTTCAGTTGTCTTTTTCTTCGTCTATCTTTTTATTTACTTTTTCTTTTCCTTTACCTTTAACCAGATTTTTATCTTCATTATTTTCTTCAGCTATATATTCACCCCACATTTGTCATTATATTTGGTAGTTAAATTCATCTTCTTCTTTGTCTTTATCTTATAGTTTTTTTAATTGTACTTTAACCTTTATATATGTTAGTATAGATAAGATATTTTGCGTAATGATTTACTATTTAATAATAATTTAAAATTTTAGACTATTCTAATTCAGCTTTTCGGAAACAGCAATGGATTAATTGTATTTTTTGCTTTTTTGTTTATATTCTTTTCATTATTGCTTCTTTGTCATCTGTGAATTGAAATTAACATAACCTCATTCTAACATTTCTTATCAGCAATTACGTCACTATCTTATCTATTATGCGTACGTGTGCCCTACTTCATGCTCGTACTATTTAGCTACATGCATTTAAATTTATTTTATTATCTTTTGTTTGAACCGACCAGCACAATTTTTTCACCTTCAACTCATTGCCTTATTAGTTGTTATTGTTGTATGTATATTTTTTTGTTCTTGCTAATTTTTTCCGCACTCCTTATTCATTAGCAAAATGCATCTAAGAAAAATAAAGTAAAATACTTACATACGTATATAGTAATTATTGTCTATGGGTGATTCATCACACTGTTGTCTTTTGAATGGCTTCTATTATTTGCACAATCATTGCGTTGTTGTTCTCTTCATTTGCTGCTACTTATCAGCGCATTTATTTCTAATTTTTGTTTTATCGTTTACTCTTTTTTTCAATAATGTGGCCCTAGCAACAGGCTAAAATTATAATTTTTTTAATTTCATCGTATTTTTTTTCTTTCACTGAACGGTTGATTTTTTTATTCGAGCTAAATTCATTTCAAATTGTATTATTTGGAATTAATACAGGCGAGTTGGTGTTGGTCTAGTAACTAATCGCCGTTCCGCTGCTTGCACTGTATACCCCTAAACCAGCCAGAGCAGTGTTGTCCAACCGGTAGTTCGCGGGCACCTAGTAGCTCGCGACCTGTATTTTAGGCGCCCCAAACCAAAAGATGGACAGAAAAATACTCTGTACCTAACTACGCCGTTCCCGGTTGTAAGTGCGAAAGTGTAAATTTCAGTTCTGAAAATATATTGAAAATGTGCTGAGATAGGGCGTTTCTAACCGAATTCTGAGATAGGACGTTCTTCGATCAAATTTTACGATAGGGCGTTCTTCAACCAAATACTGGAATAAAGCGTTCTAGAAAAGTTTTCTGAGTTAGGGCGTTTTCGAACTGGCTGCCCAGATAGATCGATCTTCCCCTCAGGTGTCAAAATGTTCTTTATGGAACCAGTATTATCTTTTTCAAAAAAAATGATTTATGAATCATAATGTAAACACGGATTTATCAATTAAGAGGAATTGTTGTTGTCACAATACAACGAATGTTCTTTAGTTATGCACATTCTTTTATTTTAGCTAGCTGTGACTGGATCCATTTGGAATCATGCAAGCAATCCGATGGCATATCGAGAATTAACTGAAGTATAAAATATGTTTCTGATTGAAAAATAAATGAATACGTATTTTTGTAATTTTAATTATTTTTTTTTTTTTTGTATAAAATCGTAATATTGTTATCGTTTATCAATATTTTTCACATTTGTTGATCAATTTTAAAAAAGTACAAAAAACGCGGTACAATAACCTTTGCAGCAGCCGAATTTCTTCAAAATTAAGGAAACTAAAAGATTTTAAAAACATTTTTACAAAATAATTTTTTTGACAAACTCGTAAAAAATTCAAAAGCAATGCTTTGAAAATTAAAAAAATACGTGTTTATTTATTTTTCAAGCAGAAAAACATATTTTATTCTGAAGTCGATTCTCGATATACCATCGGACTGCCTGAATAATTTGAAATGGATCCAGTCGTGTATAAATTTTATTAATAAATAAAGATTTTTATAGGGATCAATTAAGATTGAAGCTAATTTACGCGGTGCCCACAAAGCATAGCAATAGTTTAAAAGTAACTTTCGGTGCGGACTCAGTTGGACACCACTGAGCTAGACGCTCAAATGTTTAATGGAAATACATAGTAAGCAAATATTAGTCGCTATTGAGAATGCATCATTCTTCTGGATGTTTTACTTAATTTGATTCTTTTATTTATTTTTGTGTGGTTTTATAGAGTGTAATACCAATGCCATACACTTACCTTCTACTCTCTTTAAGTATTGTTACAAGTAATTTATTTATTTTATTAGCAAAGTACCTATTGTACATTCATATGTACACCATTTGGAGCAACCGATAAGAATGTACACATTCATGGGTCTAAATAAATGAACATAGCAAATACATCCACATTATTTTTACAAACTATGTACCTACATGTTTGTGTACACACATTTCGAATATGTAATTAACATTTTATCAGCTGAAGCAACAAGTGCAGGACAACAGCTGTAACTCTGCTTATACTTATTTAAATGGCTAGACGTACATATGTTTATTTTATGCGTACTTATGTATGTATGTATGCTTCTATTTGGAAATGCAAAGCACATGTCTTTTAGCAAACAAAAAGTAGGCAAATAAAACTGACTTTAATTTATATATTTATATACATTGATCTCGTAACACCTCCACAGCTCTCCTTAGCTACATATAGTTGATTTTTGCAGTAATAACTGTAGTGTGAATGCAAAGCTAATGACTAAATTATTATAAGTAGATATTCAGATAAACATATTGCGCTAAAAATACAGCTTACATTTATGTACGTACAGTGGTCCACAAAATAATAGGAGGGCGTTATTTTGGTCAGTTTTTGCTATTTGTCTTTTGTTTATTTAATGTTTATTATTTTTATACAAAAGTCAAGCTGGGTATACAACAAACAACGAATAAATTCAGATTTCAACCTTTGTACAAAAATTATTAAAATTCTGTAAATTTTCACCAAAATATCAAACTTTTTAATCAGAATCTTCAGAGAAAATTCTGGTATGCAGTTTTATAGCCCATTCAATTCTAGTCTGAAGAAGTGCAAGTTTCAAGCTTCTAAAAAATTCCGTTGATTTTTGGCAATTTTTTTTGCTGGTACTGTCCCCATATAAAAGAAAATTGTCGAACATACTTTGTATGGAAAAAACGTGAAACACCTTCAACCGAAAAAATTCTCAAAAATCAACGGAATTTTTTAGCAGCTTGAAACTTGCACTTCTTCAGACTAGAATTGAATGGGCTACAAAACTGCATACCAACATATTTTCTAAAGATTCTGGTTAAATAGTTTGAAAATTTGCAGAATTTTTATAATTTTTGTACAAACTTGAAAATGTAAGTTTATATGGTGTTTGTTGTATTACCAGCTAGGCTTTTACAAAAAATACGAAACATTAAAATAAACTAAAGACAAATAACCAAACCAGGTTAAAATATCCCACTCCTATTATTTTGTGGACAACTGTATATGTATGTATGCACGGTATTGGACATATCTATAGCAATCCCATTTCCAAGTGATATTGTTTGCCACTTATGTTTAATTATTGCTAGGTTGCGCAATTTAGACTTTTTCTTCTAGTGCGGTTTTGAAATAAAAGAGACTGATGCTTTGTATTTTGACACAAAATCGGAAACTAAAAATGCAGTTGTACTGATTAGACTAGGCCCGCCTATTTGTCAATCGGATCGTGTGAAACGGCACACGGTCTCTTTTCCCACCTCCTTATCTATGCCTGTGCCATCGCCTTTTTCCAAACCTTATGCATACTTATATACTTATGTACATATACTAACCCAATGTTGTTGAAATAGCATAAAAATTCCCAAAAGAGTTTTTGGGGAATGTTGCTGAAGTGAGAGTCCTTAGCCCATAGCCAGATATAAATCCCAATGCTCATCAATTTTTGCGTGAATATTGTTAAAAATATTTGTATTGCACAATAAAAAAATATATTCGTCTATATCTTTCTCATTTCAGTATCAAAAGCACCTTATATAAGTGTGGAATAATTCCGAAGCGAATTCAGTTCCATAACACTCAAATGAAAGCCAAAATGGATTACTAAATGCAGTTGAAGTCAATCAACAGCAACAGGAGCAGCAGCAACAGCAGCAGCAGTCCACAGCATTGCATTGCGCAATAGTCACGTCCACATAACATACAGACACACATACACACACATACGCAGAACGACGACGACGAGCACCCTATAACCCCTCCAAATCGGCCAACGAGTTAAGATCAGCAGATACCATAACTTAAGTTGCAAAAAACCAACTTCTAAAATAAAAACTCCCAATAGACCTAAACCTAATTTCCATTTAAAAACAAAATACATACATACCAACACGACTGCAAGAAGTCATCGAGAACAACATAACTAAAAATAATAATAAAAATAAATTCGTAAATTAAAGAACATTATTTGGCCTAAACTGCATAAGTAGAAGAAATTCAACTTAAGAAAATCAGTAATTCTGAACAGAGTTACATAAGTTGCATACAATTGTTTAAACAAAAAACGATCACACTGTGAATAGCAGCAGCAACTGCTGCCGAAGACAACAACCGAGAGCAGTGAAAATTGACCTAAACATCACATTAACAACAACAATCGTCGATAAGCCAATGTTACAATAATGCAATGCCTAATTATCAAGTAGCAAATGCAAGCAAATTAAAAACGTAACAACAACGGTCCCGCCCCCGTATCATCAAGAAGGAGGAGCGCCCGTAGATAAACACAAATTCAATATGATTTGAATATAATTTGAAAGAGGTTGAACTCAAAAACCAACACAACTATCAATTTTTTGTTCACATTTCGCTACAAGCATTTTAACAAGTTTTGTCAACACTAATTTTTGGTCCAATTACAAATCCTATTCGGCAAAGACACATCGTAAAAATATAAATGCACTTGATAAAAAAATATCAACCGAAAAAGTAAACAAGTAAAATATTAATCAATACTAAAAAGAAGGCGCGTTTTGTTAGTAGAACAAAAAATATTGTTCGCATCAGCAGTAAAGGAATTTATGAATGAACACCATTTCAAACCAAAGAATTTAAAGCAAAACAAAAACTCCCGTAGAAGTAGATTAATAACAAATCCAAGTAAATAAATAAATAATCTACGGAGCGCAAGAACAGTTTATCCTTCCGCAACCTACATACATATATACATGCATATGTATATTATAGTATATGTTTAATGTACATATGTCTAGAGAAAAGTCGCCTAAATATGTTTGTTGCAACACTTTCTGAGTCCATGGCATTGTCGCAAAAAATGCAGCAACAAGAAAAGCTAAATTTCAAAATCATGTTGTACGCACCCTTGCACATTGCTATCGCTGAATCGAATGTTGCCACGAAAAATGCTTAGATTCTACAAAGTAAATTGCGTTCATTACAACAACCATAACGACAACTACCGACGATTACAGCGTATCATTGAGCAAACGACTGGCTTAGAGAGGAACAACCACTGGCAGAAGAAGAATAACCACAGCAGCAGCGGTAGCAGTGATAGGGGCAACGCCGCACGGCTACGGCAACACCAACAGCTCAAATGCAGGTTGTCGTCGTCGCCTTGTGGTGGCCAGTGATTGTTGCTTTAGTAGCCGCCATTGTTCGTAAATTATCAGCGCTTGGCTATGCAAAAGAGCTGTCTTAATTTCTATGAAATCGACAGTACAAAAAAAAGTGTCATCGATTTACGAAACCGCTACAACAACGACAGCAGCAAGTGATATATAACTACTATAATTGCAACTATTGCGGCGACAGCATCAACGCCAACAGTAACAATAACGTTCGTTCGTTTTATCACTGATCCACCTGCATGTCATGCGGTTGCTTTGATCAGTTCCTCTTGGATTACTAAGTGAAAAGTAATAGGTATGAGCATGAGTTGGTTACGTTTTTCAGTTATATCTTGTATCTTGCAAATACTATTAATATGTGTGTGTGCAATCTTTCATTATTAGTAAATTTACATAAAGGCTTTACTAATTTCGTTGTGCTAGTTTGTAAACTAATAAACGTATTTATATTATTATACATTACTTTGTAATACTCATATGTTTGTTGTATATCTAAGCTACTACTGTTTACCAACGCTAGGGTCCAATGCCATTTAATTAATTTTTGTATTTATTTCCAAATTTATTAACATTCGTTTTTTTTATTTTCCATTTTACTTACATACATATATTGCTTATACTTAATAAGTATGTAGTCGCATAAGTTTGTGAATTGATAAATGGGTTTTGCTTTTCTTCTGCGCTTGCGCATATTCATACATAAGTATCGAATTAAAGCAAAATCACAATCTTATACGTTTCCATTAAAATTCATTTCGTTATAAGCTTTTACTTAAGTTTCAATCGTTCGATTGTTAAGTGAATTGAGAAGTTTGGTTTTATTAAAAATAAAAATGTATGAACAAAATAGCAGTGGACCTCAACGTGCACCACAAATACACATAGCTAGTATACTTGCCTACCCAGTCGGCAAAATTAGAAATATTTCTGATCTTTTAAAGCGATAGGCCTTCCGTGCTCGATTTTATCTGTTTTGTATGAAAATATGTAAATTTACATTAAATAATACAAATATAACTTCGAGAAGGATTTGGCGTCAGTTGGCACAGAATGTTGCAACGAAACCGGAAGAAGAAGTACAAAAATAATTTTGCTCCAGATACTCGCTGACACGCCTACTGCGATTGTTTCTGTATTTGATTTCGGTTGGTTTGCAAACAAATCTTTTCGACAGTCTATGAATAAGGAATTGGAAGATTGTGGAAGAGGAGCTCTTATTAAAACGCATTGCCTGAAAGCACTCCTCATTTTGCCGACTGGGAAAGTACGTACATGCTTACATACATATGGACGTGTTTAGGTTTAATTAACACAGTCAGTGATAAAAAATAGTATCTTGGCTCGAGCTGCTATAAACAGCTGTTTGCAATTGTGCAAAGTTCTTTGTTTGCTGTGAAGTGATTAGAAAAAATGTTTTTGGTTTTTCTTTGGTAGTCGCGATCAGTCGAATAGTCCCATATTCCACCCGGCTTAACCGCCATACACTTTGTTCATTGTTTGCATTCTGTTTTCTTTTTAATGATCTTGCATGTTATAGTCACCATAATTAGTTTAAAGTACTGCATTCACTCTGTATGAGGGTACATTTTTACGAATCGATTTTTTTTTTCAAATTCCTCAAAGATACAAAAAGAATAAAAAACAGTGAGTTTTGTAGCAAAACTGGTACTGTATTTTCTTAACAACCATGCAAACCATTTTTTGAATCGTAGAGAAATTGTAAAGAATTCGTAAAGATCCCATCCGATTTTTTGCCGAATTTTGTAAAATGAAATAAACTATGCACACTTCCATTCTTTCACGAAATTTCAGAAGAAAATCGGTAAAGAAATTAAAATAATGCTGCTATGTGAAGAATTTCTTGCAGGGTTTTTTCAGAATTTTCTTTATTTTTCGCACAGAAATTTCTTTACGAGTTCGTGTCAACCACTTCATATAATTTTCTTTGAAGATTCGTAAAAAAATCGTGACGGAAATCAGATACTCCTAAAGATTTCGTTCGATTTCGTTGAAGAAACAAAGATGATTGGAAAAAAACGTTTTTCCTCATCTTAACCCCAAATTACAAATGCAGTTGTTGTTGTTCAATAGCATAAAAGCTCCACAGAGTTTGGGGAGATGCTGCTGTATGGACAGTCCTTTTCAAGATATACATATATCTGTATAATTCGGTTACATAGACACGAGTCTCACTTATAACCAAAGAATATTCAACCAGGTAGAAGTGATTTTGACAGTTCTCTCTTTTGGGCTGCGATTAAAATGTCAAATGTCAAATCTTTCAAATCAATTTCAAATCGTATTAAATTTTTTTATTTTGTTTTTTACTTTTTGACATTAGAGTCAGTTTTATTGTCATTCCTACCTTGTTGAATATGTCGGGCTGTAACTGATGGCACAGTCTTCCATGTGGATATACATACATCCCTATGTTGTGGTTGTTGTAACAGCATACAAATTCCCCAAAGAAATTTAGGGGAGTGTTGCTGGAGTGACAGTCCTTGGCCAGATATAAATCTGAGTCGTTGCGGTTACGTAGATCCGACTGTCATGGGAACGCATACATCCCTATAAATTTCTTTGCCTAACTTTACGATCTAGAAAATGAACATTCGAATTCTGTAACCGCATTGTGTCATCTTTTTCATAATCATGGGGTACACTCTGCCATCCAGCAGGACCAGGCTTCATTGCTGGTCTCACCAGCATTAAAATAGTATAATTGTTCCTCGGCAGCAATGGCAAATTTCCAAGTATTTTTCTACCATGAAAAGGCAGCTCGTAAAAAAACTGTATTATTATACGATACATTTATTCGTTATGATTAGGTCAGCAAAATTGGCCCAAACCGCAGAGAAATTGTCATTTCGCTCAAACTTTCCAAAACACAAAAACCACAACCATTCTTATAGTAACTCTTGTTCAAGATCAAGAGTTGAAAATATAAATGCGTTTGGCTGTTGTAGAAGCTAAATCCTAACATCCTGTTTGTTTTCTAATCCCCATTGCAAAACTAACGGTAGTTTTTTGTGTAGTAGCATTTTAAATAGTTAATCTAGACTTTTTCACTCAAGCACAATTTGCAAATGAACTTAATTTGTTATAATGAATTATACATACATACATACATACTATATTCAAGTGATACTAAAATTAAACTATATTTTTTCTTTCTCGTTTTCTTTCTTGTTTTTTTTTTTCTTTAAAATCTTTTTTGAAAACTACAAACAAAAATTGTATGTTAACTAGGTATGAAGTATCCACAACTTGTATCGACGCGCGCGGTGAACGCCATATCCGATTGGTTAGTATCCCGCTTGGAGCAGTTAGGCGTTGAGGCACCACAGATCTATACTAGACTTCTCCTATCTCTCTTACAATCGACTATTCAACTAAACGATCCAATTGAGTTCAGCAATTTAGAAGTAATTAAAAAAAAAAACATTTTTTAAGTGAAAGTTTATACTTTAAATCGATACTTCGAGCACATTGTATAAGCGATAAACGGAAGTCATCATTTCCGATGACTTGACAAAATTTTATTTGTGAACCTATGTAAATACGAGTACATACATATGTATGTACTTATAATTGTATAAGTAAATATTGTATGTAGCTGAAAGTATCGATTTTAATTGAATTTATAAAATAAAATTGTACGGGGTAGAACAGGGTAATAATATGGTTATTTAAAGGATTTAAAAAATTAAAACACATTTTTCGAAAACTACTAAAACCATCTAGCATAAGCTTTGACAATATACATAAATTGTACTTTTTGGCAATTCAATTTAAGATACACCTTATACCAGTTTCATTATGAATCCTTTAACCCATATGCATTGCCTGCGACGACGAGAGCGCCCTGTGTTTTAAAATCCGCTAATAATTGAAACTTTCTCTTGCTTTTTATCTACTGTTACAGTCATTTTTTGCTAGTCGAAAAGGTGGAAATAGACGTTACCTTGACACCGACGCCCTCAAGAAATTCAATGCTGTGCAGTGTCTAAAGGATATTGTTTCCTCGGAACAAGAGGTATGTATAGGGTAAATATATTTAGATAACAGCTTAAAACCTTACAAAAAAGCTGTCCGCGAAAATGTTAGAAGAAAATATAAAGTTCACCTATTACACAGGGCCACATACAAATCGATGAAAGTTTCTCTTGTCCCAACTAGGTGTTTTATATGTTTTTTGGCGCGCTGAACATGGATTTCAAGTCCGGACTTCAGGTTCTTGTTCAGAGCATTAGAACCTAAAATTCCTACCTAGCTTGGTCAAGAACCTTTTATAGATTTTGTTTTGTCCTGTGTTAAGTATCAATAGTAAAATGAGCCATTATCGTGCTGAACTTAACTTTGAAACTACGTTATCAATTTCTTATATGTATATCACTCTCACTGTTTTCCTTATCTTTCTTTTTTTCAGATCGCAACTATTGAAAATCTCGTCGATGAGCTGTGTGAAAAATTAAAGGACATCGAAAAACAAACTGGCGATAGTGAAGATGAGGATAAGCAATTAGTAGCAACTCTTTCACTAGCACAGCAACAGCACCACAATTCATCGCATCAGCACCATCATCACCACGGTCACACGCATTTGCACAAGTCGCATCACAACAATCAAACGAAAGAGGTTCCAACACACAGCAAAAGTTGCAGTGCCAGTAGTCGAAGTGATAGCAGCAAAAACACGCAAGCAGCAGTTTCAACAGCCGCAGCATCAGCCAATAACCAGAGCAACAACAACAATACAGAAAACTTGGACGATAGTGAATTAGACCCGCGCGATCTTTATTTTCGCGCATTTCCAGCGCTATCAAAAGAAATGGAGGACTCTTTCGTAACTTGGCGCCGCAATGCCAAGTGGTTGACGTGGCCTGTAGACCAACGTAACCAGGATCAATCGATTTCGACTAGTAGTTCTAGTTCGACAATCTCAAGCAATTCCGCTGTAGATGCGGCCACTAAAGATGCTGCTACAAGCTCTGTAAATAAGGTAAACGCTAAAGATAAGAGAATGGATGATGCCTTGGAAAATGCATCGAAAGTGCCAAGGCAAGAGTTTTGCAATGATTTTGCTGATGTCAATGATAGTGAGACTAATTCATCTGCTTTTGCGTCTGTTAATGCTGCTACTGGCGGCATCAAACGTAAATCTAAACGTCGCCGCAGTCGAGGTAAATACATACAAGCTCCTTTAAATATCAAATCACAATATAGTGCAAATTTATCAATAGCTTCATTTTCATGATTGGAGATGTTATATATGTATATAAACAATTATTTTTGTTAGCTTTGTTAAAAGGAAAAACCATTCAACAAAGTTCGCGTAAAAAAACTAGTGCCGGCATGGCTTGTGGTTCTTCTTCAGCATTAATGCATAATCACGCCGATGATAATCCTTCGGCTGCAGGCGCCAGTGGTAAAAGTAAACGTAGTGCTTCGCCAGCTTATTGGGATACCGATTTCGAGGGCTGTTGGGAGATGGGACGAGATCTGATCAAAGAGTTTATTACGCGTCAGAATAGGAACTCTCGCAATCGTAGCACTTCAGAAAGTGCTGTTGCATATAAAAAGAAGAGCACCACTGAAGAAAGGGCTGCATTGAGGAATGCCACTATTGATTACAGTAGCGCTAATGAAAAGGCTTTGACCGATGGCAATCGTCTACAAAATAAAAATCACGCAACCGGGCAAAGCAGCGACATTGAGTGTGACAAAACTCGGACAACTAAAGTCGTTACACCTATATTACCGCCAGTGGATATTTCCTTCTGCGACTATGATGACTACGATGACACACTCGCGTCAGTGTCGGAGCTAACTCACGATGGGCCCTTGGTAAGTTTAGCCACTGCTGATGGAGCTGCCGATCTGGCAACTGTCAACGCTAAACGTTTGTATGAACGGGAATTGATACCAACGGATGCCAAATCTGATGAACAATTGGACTTTGCACAATTTGAAGCGAAATTTAATAGCAGCGTTGAAGCTTTGTGGAAGGATGCTGGTAGTGATGAGGAGAAGGGATTCAAACCAATTGGCAATGGTAATAAAATGCAAGTATTCGGCTTTGGCAGTGGCAGCAGCACACATTTTTCCGGTCCCGCTTCGCTGCCATTCGATGTGCCATTTTCACAAAATGTAAAAAATTTCTGGGCAAACTATTATAATCATCATTTTGATTTGAGTAAAATGTTGCCGACTAGCGTAATTGGCCAGAAAGCAAAGGAACTGGATGTAGTGATGCAACGGAGAGCTAATGATATTGGCAGAGGCGATGCTTTCAAGGTGAGTTGTACAAAAATCAAAGTTTTAATTTAATCGGATACAAAATTCATAAAGCATACTACTCACCCAACGGTATAAAGTCAATGTAAACCTCATAAACTGTACAAAATTTTCAACATAAAAATTTTTTTTTAAGCAATTTATAAGTTCCCAGTTTTAATACGTACTTCAATAGTGTCATAACTCAAAAAAACATCACTCGAGATAAACGGCTTTAAAGTTTTGAATTTACATTTCGTCACCTTAATTCACAAAGGCCCTAACCAACAAGTTTTTTATTTTACAGGAGAAGTAAAAACAACATTATAATATATGAGTATATTATATCGTCACTCGTGCGCACTGCCGTGCGCTGTGATTATATGAGTATCAGAAACAGGTAGGGCTTTTTAAAAAGTGGCATGTAACTCCGTTTTTTTTTTGGTACTAACACTTCAAAATTATTATTGAAGGTGTATTTTAATACATCCTACCAAAATATGTGGAAAACCCAGTTTCGAAAAAAGTGTTGGTTTGGGCCTTTGTGAATTAAGGTAAAGATATACTCCCATAATAAAACTGAATACATATTTTATTCTACTGAGATAGTGGTAATGTGGTAGTGGGATACAGCTATAAAATTTTTACATAACATAGAAGAAGAGGTAGAGGTAATTTCTGCATATTTACTTATATCAAAATTTGTAGATTTTGGATTGACACTATTGAAGTAAATGGGCGATATGTACACTATTAAGTTGTAAATCCTATTGCACCTACTCTGCTGAATGGCAGTATATTTGTATCATTACAAAGTCTATGAAAAAAATGTTTTCTCTTTTATTTTTCGTTTAAATGTGTTTAGCCTAATGGTGGCTTTTTAAGTGATGATGCTCCTCAAAAGCCTAACAATTTCTCTAGAGCCCCAGCTGACGTAACCATAGCAGCGCCTACTACCACTAGCGACTATTACTCGATGCCCAGCAATTTGGACAACTTGAACAATGCGAAATTACTGCGTTGCGGTTTGCGCCACAACAGCGGCTGTAGTGACTGTAGCATCGGTGCGGGTATGGGCAGAGGCGGTACAATTGGAGAAGAGCGGAAAACACCGGTGGCGCTCTTCTTACAGAGTTCGATTTGGTCGGAAAATGCTAATCGGGATGGCGGTGACACAGATGAGAGTTTCTACTTTAAAGTGCACAACTCGGGCAAGCAGTTAAATCAATATAACGCCCCTGGTAATAACAGTATGCGGGAACAGAAAATGCAAGGCGGTACTAATACTGGTGGCAGCTTTGGTTTTACGGCTACGTATACATCGTCTAAATGGTCAGAGGGCATAAATGCCGGACCGCCACAAAATAATTTGATAATGGCGCCATCACAGCAGATGACACATAAGCAGGGCACAAATCTGAAGGAAAATTTTAATATATCTCTTAGAGGTACCGATTGTACTGACTCCTCGCCCACTGCCTCATTTTCCACCACTTCAGGCACTAATTGGCAACAGACAAAAACCAATGCAAACACTGATTTGGAAAATACATGGCCACCTGGTATATCACCCAACGTTGAAAAAATACGCGAGACAAATACATCACATCGTGCCCCGACACGTGACGCCATCATCGAGAACACGCCGACAGTAACACTTGCGAATCATTCGTCTGCAAACAGTGGCTTTATTGAATATTCACGCATCAAATCAGTCCCACAGCTCCAATTGTCCACCCAAGACAATGCATCAAGCGCCAACTTAGCTAAAGAGCAACTTCCGCGAAATTATCCGCCCCGTGCCAATAGCAAAGAACAACAACAGCAACGTTGTGCGCTCGATATGATAGATGATAGCGAAAACCTATTGACTTCCGAGCGCACACATTTCCATCCGATTAGATCGTACGTAGATGGTCATACCTTCGATATTTGCAGCGAACTAGATGTCATAGAGTATGAACGTTCGGCCAGCGGCTATCTTTACCTCGAGCAAGATAAATATCTCGAGTATACGCGAACGGACAATTTCATGGTGGAGGACGATGGTGGCGTTGGCGCCTCAGCCAACCCACTGTATGCAAATTCAAATTGTGAGGCTGCCACAGCCAGCGCCAGTGCAAATTACAAAAACGCCATCGGCAATAGCAAATCGAAACGAATCGAACGAGATTTTGTTATCAAATTCCGCCTGCAACGCACGGAGATCGCTTGCCAAACGGATGCAGAGCCCCCAACCGCACGTGCTGTGATAACCGCAAGCAAACGTTTCAGTACAATGAGTTTAACGGCAACATCGCAGCCGCATCCACTTAGCTTAATTTTCTCGAATGCGGCAAAAAATTTGAAAGCGAACGCAGCTAATGAACTTGTGTACAGCGATACTGTCGAGGCATTTACTCGCGCTATTGCACATTGCCCGCCACCACCTCCACAAACGGCGAATAACTCTACTTGGCTACCATTGGGGGCTGCTGATTTTGGCGGACAACAATCGGGTAATCGCAATTGGAAATTCTATCAGCAGCAGTCCAAGGTGTGCAAAAATACCAAAAAGAATACGAGCAACCTGAAAAGCCACTCTAATGATTACGATGATGATGACGATGAAGCTGGCTGCGATGAGGTAGATTTCTATGGCAGTGCCGCTGACGTTGCCGATATGAACCACCGTAGCGCCATGGAATTCATTGATACTGATGTAGACATGATTAGTTTAGAACAACAATGGTCCATGAATGAAATACGCAAAAAGTGCAAAGAAGCTGGCCATATGGCTACCTATGCAAGTGCGAATAATAATAATAATAATGCCAGTGGTGCTGGTGATGCCGCCGCCGACGGTGTCATCGAATCTGTTTGGGGAATGTGTGCCGCCTGTAACAGTGAACTGAAATCCATACCGGCCAACAGGTTGCTGCGTGATGAACTTCAAGTGGAGGCCGATGAGATAATGAGCGATCTGAAATATATGCAAGATTTATACATAGGACGTGCTGGTGATGCAAATGATGCTGACGATGAAGATGAAGGCTGTGCGGATGATGACAGTGGCGCCGACACGGTGACAAGTGACAGCGATTGGTGTAACGAAGACGTAACAGCCGAACTTGCGGAAGAAGGTTCAGTGAAGCCAATGCCAAGTGTAGAACTTGCAATACGTCAGGCAGACTCTACGAGCGCTGATAAAGTTGCTAGCGATACTGCTGCAACTAATGATTCGGATACTTTTTCCGTTATACAAAAGGTAAATCGGCTCATAGCTGAATTGCTGCGTCCTGATAACAATAATGATACCACCAGCCATATAGAGAAACTAAACGCGCATGCATGTGCGAGTGTTGAGGAGTCACGTCCCGCAGAAAGAGAATCAGCAACCATGCAATTTAGTGGAAATTTATGGCACAACAGTCGTAATGAACGGAACATTTGGCAACTGAACGCAGCAGATAGCACTACCGGGATAATGGTTGGCGGTGGTGGGGGCTTGGGCAAGGGCAGTAGTGGTATTCACCCAATGCAACTCTTGCGTCAGTTTAACGTAAAGCCAATGGAGAGTGCGACCAATGTCGGAAACGTTTTCCCATTGCCAACTGCTGACGATGCGGATAAATACCACACACAAATAAGTTGGGAGCATGAGAATTTAGCTAAAATTTGGCAAACATCACCACCACCACCACTGCTACCGCCGCCACCGCAACAACAAACACATCAGCCTCCGCAGAATCAACCACAAGATGCCAATATGGAAGTAAAATATGACAGAACGGCAGCCGCTGCAGTTAATCAATCTGAATGCGATGAGAAAACTGATATTGATGAGAAAAATATGCGTAATTTGCGTGCCAATGCAGATGCGAGTGTGGAAGCTGCGGCAGCGAATTTGCAAGAGGCACAAGAGTTTTTAACCCGCGGCCAAAGCAAGGTGGTAGCGCTCACAGACGCGCAGCTAGTAGACTCAGCTTTAAAGTTAAAGGTATGCATACATAAGTGTATTTTATTTATTACGTATGTATATATCTGTGATCACAAGCAATAATCACCTAAGTCGATTTAAGAAAGAATGCGAGTTATATATACTATCGTATTCTTCAACCACTATTCCATGCCTATGTGAAATCTCCATCTCGCCAGCTAGGCTACTTAAAAAGTTATAGGCGAAAATATTTTGGTTTCCCCATAAGGCGAACATTACAATCCAAATGTTTAAAACGTTTTTTCTCGAATTCAGGTTTTTCGACTTAGGCGGTTATTGCTTGTGACCACAGATATATCAGTTGCCACTTGTCACTAAATTTGTAAATTTTCACAATTTGGCATTTATAGGCAGTTACTCGCAAGCGACGACACTCGGCATCACAAAATTATTTCCATGCGCAACTGAATAATAGCATAGGCCCAGCTGCTGGCAATAGCAGCGGTGGCAACGCGTCACTTATGCAGAACAATAACAACAATGAAATCGCCGATTTAAATAACTATGTGTTGAAGTCGTCGTCGTCGAATGCCAATGAGTTGAGTTTTCAAAATTTGCTTAACGTTTCGCTGCGTTTTGGTGCCGCTGCGGCCGCTGCCGTTGCCGCTTCTCATGCCAAGAAAGGCTCCGATTATGGCAGCAGAAATATTTGTGGCGCAGATATTGCATATGGTTGCGATGCAACTGCAGCGGCTGCAAGAAATCATACGATCATTACCTGCAAATACCACTTGACTGCAATCGAACCGCTGTCAATGCACAATGATGACGATGGTATCGATGATGTTGGCTTATTTGGTACAGGTAACAATGGCAGTGGCATCACAGCGGCACCGCTTTCGTGCCTCATCGACAAGAACCAATCCATATTGAAGCATGTAACCATGGTGTCCCGACCGTTGACGCGTTAAAATCATCTTCATAGGCTGTCTCAGTAACTAAACAAAAAAAAAGGTATGCATATTTAAAATTGCGGTGATATTAAGTCGTTGATTAATTTTTTACAAACTTGAAAAATAACTTTGGAATTGTTATACTTTAACTAGACTTAAGCGGAAACTCTGCCCGTTGCAACAGTTGATTCAGCCCACTTTCATATCAGCATCTTTACCACATACACATTTATTATTTTTCTGCTCCAAATGATCTTTTAATTTGAACTCCTATACTTTATTAACTCGTACATCGCTCTTCTCCCTTTCGCCATCGAGAAATCGAGCTTCACCTGGTAGCGAAGGTACCACTTGACTCCCGAATCGCTCAACGTAGGGCCTGTTCGAGGCATGTAATAAAAGCGGCATTATTGCTGTACTGATGAAATTTTGCAACACTGTTGCATCTGCCCAACTGACAATACGTTGTAGAAATTCACACTAAACGTGATAATCTAATAATTCGCGCAACACTGCGGTTGTGCTTGCAACTCGAACAAGCCTGTAGTTCGATGATGGTCTTCCCATGCGCATGGCGGACCTGTCACAGACAGTGGAGGAGTTTTGGTCCGCTGGTGGTACCTTCGACTGACCGCTATGCTAAGTCGTTCCGCCAGCTTAGTGACCTGGTCGACGACCTCGTGCTCTCTCTTAAGCGCTTGTAGGTATAGGTGCAGAATTAATCTTGCGATCAGTCCCACTTGGCACAGTTTTTTCTTATCTGTCGAAAAGTCGCTGTTAAGCAAGCCGGTTTAATCCCTCCTGGCTGTAAACCGTCTAATGGGCACGGTAGCGCATAACACCTTGGTAATCCAAGCGTGTTACGGCTTCGTCAACGTTCCCTAGCGGTTCCAGTATGGAGTTCAACGTGAGCCACTGGATTTCCTAAGCGCCTGCAGCACAACAAAGGGGCGTTTAGAAGGTTCAAAAAATCAGTTGTTGCAAAACTAGAATTCCTCTTAAATACATACATATGTAAAAATAGATAAGCGAATTCCCAAAATATAGTTTAAAATTTTCACCAAAAATTTTATTAAAACTAAACCTTTCACAAACAGTTTTTCGTAATTTTCTTGCAGGTGCTTGGAATTTGGGTCTTGTTGAATGGATCGGCAGTTAGCGTGGAAGAATAAAAGCTCAATCACATTCTGAAATAAAATACTTCGGTAGCAGCAGCAACTACAGCAATTCACATGGAATAAGCAAATAAAATCAGTCGATCAGACGGCGGCGCACATTAAATGGTGTGCGCCGACGGTGTACTAAAAAAAAACTCCGATATATATAGTATATATGTATATATATATAGTATATATGTATATATATATAGTATATATGTATATACATATATACGAGAGATAATTCATGTTAATTTTCGTAAATTTAGTTACATAGAACAGCAACTAGTAGCTTATCGTTTATGTGTATAAATTTATTTAATGCCTTACTTAGTTTCTTTGACTTTTTTTTTGTTAAATGTTGTAAAATATTCATATACATACTACTCTCAAACATATAAGGAATCGCTTTTGTAAGCAATTAAATATATACATACACGCAAGCACACATAGATACGGGAACCCACTAAAAATACTTACGTATGTACATACATTTGTTCGAACTATGTGTAGTAACGATATCAAGCATTACAACTGTATATAACTTTTGACTTCAATTTACTTTCGTTGGCGATATCTTTGCTTTATGTTTTTTTGACCCCATCAGCATCTAATATTCTATTTCTGTTTTCAAAATTTAAACATTAAAAGTCCTTAAAAAGTTGAATGCAACAAAAAAAATAATAAAAAAAATATATAGATGTATAGACCACCCACACGAAAATAGCAAAAAAATGCAAAAAAGAGTAAAAAAAAATTAAAACATGAAACATTTCTGTATGTAAACCTAATCGTTCATGTTAGATTAGCTGCTTGTGCAAACGCGACAAAATGAAATACGTAAGTGTATGCGACAAGTTTTATAGTTTTCTTGCTAGCCGATAGCTAGAGACGTCGGCAAACATGCAATATAAATGATCGGGTTCACTCATGAAATAATACAAAATTAAAATTCACTTACACGTTGTGTACAAGCACACATATGTACATACATACATATTATGAAGAAGGATGCGTACGCAAGCAGCAGAGCAGAAAACCCCGTCCCGAGAAAAAGTGAACAAAATAATAATAAAACAAGTAATAATAAGGAATGATAAAAAAAAAAAACATTTAAGCTTTATTTATTTTCCGCTTTGAATGTGCATAAGATCAAACTGATTCGGAATCGCGTTAGTACAAAATTAATTAACTGAAAAACCAAGCGTTATTAGTCAACGTAGCAACATTTCACAAATTAGTTCTCTATGTGTATACACCTTATTTCTTCCAGTCAACGATTTTTGCTGATCCAATTGTCGTTATTCTTTTTAAAACATAAATTAGACCAGAAACATACCAAGTAATTTGCTTTTCAGTTAAGTTTTGGCTAAATCAATCTACAATAACCTAAATTTTTATAGAGGATAAAAAATTGCTTGAAGTCAAAAACAATATATCGCACGTTTAATAATATAGAGATGTTTTGATTGGTATGAATTGGATAGCGAAATATTAATACTTGAAATTTTATGCACACAGAGTAATTCACTTAAAACTGATGCGTCCCGCACATTCTTTAGCGGAAAATGTCAAGGTAATATACCAATTCAAACAAAGTAAAAATATTTGAAGTTGGGCCATTAACAAAAGAAACGAAAAAAATATAAACGTGGTAATAAACTCCATCTCCATTTACTGTGTATAAAAAATTTGTTTGTTAAAGCCACGTTGTTCTTTGCAGCCATGCACTAAAGAAGACAACAACAAAAACACACACACATTTTTTTAATTGGATTTCAAACCTTTGAAAATATTGGAAAAAGCGCAAGCAAATTGTGAACCGCTTGCGCATTATCTCTCTTTTTTTTTGTTAATAGGCAATAAACATCTGTTGAGTTGAGTTTAAATGTATAATATATACTCTACATGTAATAAAGAGAAAACCAATATTGGTTCAACAAGAAGAGCAAACCAAACAAAAATGCATTCATTTATTTATTTAAAATGTTTGAATAGTAAATAAAAAACGACGTAAAAGACCGCGTCCTTGGCAAAATATCAGAGTCGTTTGTTCAATGTCTGATTAATGCTGCCCTAAGCTCGTTAAGCGTGCGGGAGCTTAAATTGACAGTTTCGTTTTAACCAAATTCTCGTCGAGTTAATTGGATCATTGTGAATAATTTAGAAGAAAATTCATAGAAGTTGTATTGAGCACAGACAATGTCTGCGTTAGGAGCTGAGTTTTTTTTTTAAGGGAAATAGCTAATCCTTGCTAGAACAAAATTTTACCAGCAGCAAGAAAGCAGCTGATTAAAGTCATCTGACTGTCATTTAAGGAATTCATGAAATTGTGTTTGATGATTATTAAGTTTGAAATAATTTCATAGAACTTCAAATGTTTGGGAAGGAAGCAAATTACTGATTATGCTTCAGATAAAATTTTAATGTTTAATTCTTTATATTTTTTGTTTTGTCCTTTTGGATTTAAACAAAATTTCAATCAGCCGAAACTTTAAAAATTGTAGAAAATTTTTTTATTAGTGAGGGAATCAAGCGTTCGTTGCTCTCCTGCAAGATGCTGCTGGATAATTTTCACTGGAGATATTTTCGAACAGACCATATATGGGTGTTTCCATCGGAAGGACTACTGCGACAAAAAAAAAAGTGAAAGTCGTATATCTAGCGTATTTATTGGCCAACTTGTATGCTTTTTTTCGATACATATATACTGGCTATGTTAGTCGAAAAATGTTTGCGTAAAACGGTCTTGTTAGGTGGCGCCAAGGTCGAGATATTTTGAAAAACCGTGTTTATAGTCCGATTTGGTTTGAATTCAGCGTATGTAGTTGAAACATAATAAACCATAGATTTGCAAAAAAATTGATTCTGAATTGGCGCTGAAGTCAAAATATAAAGTATACTCGGCATAAAATGCATGTTTTATTTGCTTTGAAAAATCATTTAAAAGCAATATTAACAAAAATATAACGCTGGGAATTTATGTCACGTGACGATTCACACTTGGGGTTGTAAAAGAAAATTGAAACAGATGCATTAATTCAAAAAACTGTAAAACCAACTAGAATTACTCCAAATCATATTAAAACAAGTTTCATGAAAAAAGCCATCCACAGTTCGCAGAGTTTTGCGAATTTGTAAGAAAAGAAAAAAATAAACTTCCATTTTTTGTCACGTAACGACACTCTTTAATTGCTTAAATTTAAGGACCATGCGGTTCTATTGTTTTCATTTTTCGGCTAAATAAAGAGCTAATTATTTGCTATACAAGGGTGTAAAAAAAAGTAACAGAAAACAAATGTTTTTCCTTTTCTGTATCTCATTGAAACGTACGACTGTCACGTATGTGACGTATGGAAATACCCATATAATAATCAGCGTGCAGCCTCAATTTTGGTAAAATCAACTAGACACTGCCTGGTAAAAAATGAAGACTAACATGAGGCGATATTCCAAGCAATTTTAGAGGCGATTAGTTGAATCATAAGTTGTTTCCCCCCAACTTGCGAACACTTATACGCAACTCTTATACGCAAATCTAATCGTATTCATAACTGTAAAATGCTCAATATTTTCAAATACAAAAAAGTAGCAGCATTTACATATGCAAATACACATCGTGTAAGAGCGTTGTTAGCAGTGAAGCTGAACATTCGCACATTCAGCAAATGCTTTTTGAACCAAATTCTGATTGAGTTTTGTTTAGGCGCTTAATCAGACATTGAGCAAACGGTATTAACTGTTTCTGACACTGCTGTTGTAGCTATTGACTAAATGCTTTCGTTAATGGAGGCAAATGCGAGCTTCTTCAGACAACAGTCACTTGGGCGATATTGATGATGGCCATTACCGACGTTCGGCTACGTTCGAAATGCTGGCATGCAAATCGAGATTATGCGATATATTTACACATTTTCCAAAAGCCGTTGTTAAAATATTTTTATATTGAACTTATTTGAGTATTTTTTTGGGTTTAACGAATTTTTTAAGCCGACCAACAAAGTAGAAAAAATATACGTTTTTTATGTGAAATCTTAGCACATTTCGGCTAACTTTGATATTAAAAATCTCAAAGCGTCTGCTAACACATTTTGCCAATGTCGTTGGTGTAATATGTGCAATGCAGCCAATAGTTTATTAAGTTTTTCCTTGTTGTTTTTCTTTAATAAAGTTAATCGTTTTGCGAGACTAACTTAAATTTTGCTGTTAAAATATTTCGTAAATTCTGTTTAATGTTGATACATATTTTATTTTGTTTGATATTTATGTATTTGTTCTTATAACTGTTGTTGATTGATTTGTAGCTACATATACATACATATCGCTGATTTACTTCAATAGTGTCATAATCAAATATATATACAGTCAGTCAATAAAGTTTAGGTACAGCGAATTGTTTGCAATATGGGCAACTATTTTTTAAATATTTTATTTTTCGCTAACTTTGTATAAAAATATGTTTAATTCTACAACAAAAACCCTAAAAATCAGAGTTCCAAACTTTGTGCCAAATTAAATAAAATTCTGCAAATTTTCATTCAAATATTGCTCTTATTCTTTACACTCTTTGGAAAAAAGTTTAGTATGCAGCTTTTTAGCCCATTCAATTTTTGTATAATAAATTATCGAAAATTACTTTATATGGCAAAAATGAGCGACGCCTTTAACAAAAAAAATTGCCAAAAATCAATGGTAAGTTCTAGCTACATCAGACTTGCACTTTATTATACTAAAATTGAATGGGCTAAAAAGCTGCATACTAAACTTTTTTCATAGGAGTGTAATTAGAAAGTACAATATTTTAATGAAAATTTGCAGAATTTTCTTTAATTTTGCACAAGGTTTGGAGCTCTGATTTTTGGGGTCTACGTTGTAGAATTAACCATATTTTTATAAATATTTGCGAAAAAAAATAATTAAAATATAAAATTGTAGTTTAAAAAACTAAAACCTCGCTATTATAATTTCCATTCGTTCTGTCATCAGGTATGTAAATTGAGAATAGAAATCGCTGCATCTTTTAGGCGCATCAATATTACATAGTTACATCCCGAGCTAATAAAAGGGAGGTAAAAACAGTTGCCCGTATTGTAATAAAATGGCTCGACCTAAGCTTTATTGATTGACTGTAAATTTTGAGTTGGGTATGCAGAAA